GATTGGGAAAAATATTTTTTTTTAGGGTGGGAATTAGGACCAGCCACTAGCTGGTAGATTTCAGACACAAAATAATGATTTACTATTGAATGGCTAGTGAATTTGAACATTTATCTTCAGGTGCCAGAGGCTGGTAGATGTTCACATTTTAAAAAACTTAATTTCCCACCCTGTTAGTAACACATAAACATAATTTCTAAGAAAGAAGTTTGATTCCTAGAACTTCACGTCAGCTAGGGTTTCAACTGCTAGACCCTTAGTTATGACGGGCTGAGTGGCAAAGTCCTGTTTAGAGCATATAATCGGTTTAAGCTCCAGTGCACTCTGCTGACACCAAATCTGGAGAGCCAGTCACATGGTGTTCTGCCATTGCAACTCTCCAGTCACGTCACCCTACAAAAGGCCAGCATCCTGATTAATTTGGCTTCTAATAGAACAATAAGTCTCATATATGTTTCACCTAAGAGCTTTTCCTTTCTTTATTTAGTTCTGATTCAGTAAAAATGCCCTCAAAAGCATCTTGTAATCAAAAACTGCAAGGATGAGTCATTACTAATCATAGTTCAATGTGCATTATAGCGCCTGTCATAATGATAATTGTAGTAGCATGTGTAATGCCATTAAGCTAATGAAAATAATTGACTTGGCAACTATTGGTGATCATATACCTAACAAAGCAGTGAGGGCATATAAAATACAGAGAATCTGTAAATTTTCCATTCAAAGTCTCTCAACATGCTGATGTGCTTTCTGTTTAAGCTGGCAATTCAAAGTCATATCAAATAAGAAATAAGCAGGACTCCATGTAGTAATGGCTGAGCAAGTGACAGAGAATTAACTGTAAAATCACTGACACAGATGGGAAGGGAATACTGTAGCAGCAAGAATAATCTGTTAGTGGAATATTTTCTGAAAATGTTTTTAGTAAAACCTTATGTTTGCCAACTGCTACAGGATTCCATCCCCCCTTTGTAGAGCTTTGGCCAACAAGGTGATAATCCACCAATAATCTTTTAGTATCCAACACTCCACTAAAGCAGACTTGTTTTTTTCTTGATGAAAAACAGTGGCTCTGGTCAGCTTGGCTTCATACAGTACATATCTCTGTACAGGAATTCCAGCATCCAAAATGCAGAAACCTATCAATCCCCTCCTGCACCATAATCTTCTTCCCTGTTTTTAGACACGCTCAGTAGTATCCAAACTCATATTTTAATCAAAATTTATCAAATACTGCACACTGTACCTGGTTGTAACTTTTAAGACTTAAGCAGTCCCTTGAGAAAAGCAAAGCAAATACAGCTGCAAGCTGCAAACATGAACAGCCAACTGCAGGAGCTCCAGAAACTGTATTCTGCCATATTTTATTGGGAAAAATATGAACATGTGGAACATTAGCACACAAATGAATAGTGGATAAGTGGATTGGAGCGTTTTTGCACATTTCTTTTGATGTTCTCCATAGTTTTTTTTTTTTCCAACTATTACAAGTACAATACAACTTTAGCCACAAATGGGGGTTCCCGTTTTCGCTGACTGGAACGCCCCCTTCTTCTTCGCCTCTTCTTCGTTGTAACTGTCAACATCCAAT